TGTTATTGTTGCGTGTGCGTGCGTGCGTGTGTGTGTGCATGTGTGCGCGCGTGTGTGTCACACACAGTTTGAAGCATGGTGTAATACTAAGTCACACATTGCAGAGGACAAAGATAATATCGGCTTTTTTTTATTGTCTTTCCATTTTCATTTCTTCTCAAGCAACAAATTGCGGATTTTACCCCTTGCCAAACCCTGTTCTTTATAGAATATTTTCAAGTATTTTAATTCCTGCCTTCAATGAAAAATCCCCACCTTCACCACCAAGAAAATCTCGGATGAGAAGTATTTCAGTACCGTGGACAAACTATATTACTTAAAAACACTAGCATTAATAATCTCACTATAAGAGATAAAATATATGCAAATCAAAGATAGAAAGAAGAAAAGATTAGTGCCCTTACAGTGTTCAGGCAAATCGGTTATGGCCAGCTTTCGGTAGCCCATACGATGTACGAGCAAACCAGGTAAGGAGGGGGTAACACACATACACACAAATTCAATTCGAGACTGAATATTATTTTACACCATAAACTGTTATTTAGAAATATTAAAAGTTGAGTACAATTGAAGGAAAAAAATATTAATCATTAAGAAATACCTTTTGCTTATTTTTTAATCCCATTATATAAGCAGCTTCTTTTTCACTAAAAACTCTCGCCTCTTACAGAGTGTTTAAACAGCAATTACCAACTTTAAATTTGCAGTTTCGATTTCTATACACAAGAGAAAACTCCTTACAGTGCACTGTAACTAATTACTGTCCCTAATGTTAGTTTATGATCTACATTAGTTATCCATTAATCACGTTAATGGTAGAATTGTAATCTTTAAATGCATGTATTCGTCTATGGATTGTTTGCTAAGCTCATGACTAAAAGCTCCTACAGCCATGAGAAAGCTCATCTATCCAATTAATGACTGATGTTTGCAGATAAAGATTAAACACAACTCTGCGTTTGTATTGACTAACTTAAATATTTCATCCTAAATGAGAGCATCAACTCAAACATAGTGCTTGAATGAATGAACTATTAAAATAAAAAAATAAAAGAAACTGTCATTAACCGGAGTTTGATCCAATAATTAAATTACTATTTTTCTTGTAAGTGTGCAAAGTGGTTATTTTTTATTTTTAAGAAATCTAATCACCTTTTAGGAATACTTGAAGTGAACGTGTATTAATCATTCATGTTTTTCCTCTAGAGCAGTGTTTCCCAAAGGGGTCTATGAGGACCTGCAAGGGGTCCACGCAAACAAAAAAATAATTTGGGGGTCTATGAGGTGTAAATGGGGTCGATGATAGTGGCTCTCATTAAACTAGCTTGTGACTTTAATCTTTAAAAAAAGTTGAAATAGTGGACGCCAGATTTTACCAATTTAACTTTACTAAATTAAGTGAGGAGGTTAATTTGTGGTTACTAGGTAACAGCATAAATTTTACTAAGAAAAGGACCATTTCAGCCTTCTTTCCAGAATAAAGCTAAAGAAGTATAATATTGGATGTCGTGAATTTTCTCAATTTGTCACATACACTTGTCAGGATATTTTAATCTACGTTCAACATTTAAAAGCCCTTTACTAAGATTTGAAACTGGGTTTGAGATTCTTTTTTTTAAAGTAATACCATTGTAGACAAAAAATTCATGTAGTCAGTTTGAAAAAAAATGTCATAATACAATAGGAAATGATCAGAAGAGGCCCTAATGAAGATCTTAAAATAAAGTTCAGAAACGAATGTCAGCAATTTTAACTTTAAAAAGACATGCCTGCTTGTCGCGAAAAATGGAATATCGTGAGGAAGTTTTTAATTGCTTTTTCCTAATGAGAGGGAGTTTCAGTGAATTTTTCAATTACAAGAAAGAAAGAAAAAAGAAAAAAACTGGACTCACTTACTAACAAAGGAGATTTAGGGTTAAACCTGGCTAAATTCACATAAAATGTTGAAAATTTGTTATTGAAGCCAAAGATTCACCCCTCTCATTAAAGGGATTTTTTTCTTATTCAGTTATTTTATGTATTAATTTAATTTTAATTTAAGGCGACTTGGCACCCTTTGAGCAAACTTTTTATTTAAACGTATTTAAAAATTATATTTTAACATTTTATTCTTTTATATTCAAGAAAATGTTACCAGATGAAATTTTCAAAAATTATTTAAGTTGAAAATTTAAATTTTTTGAAGAAAATTGGGAAAATTTTAAAATACTCAAAAATTAATTTTTGACCTGAAACTTTAAATATTCTTATGGTAATAACTAATGAGAATAAGAAAAAATTGGGAACCGGATCTGTTTTATTATTGCTTTATTTTTAACACGCAGGAAAAAATTGGAAGTGATTTAAATAATTTTCGATACATTTTGAATTAAGGTTTTTTAAATTTTAAAGTTTAAAATTTGAAAAATAATTATTATAAATAATTAAACTTAAAATACCACTTTAAGATATTTTATACGTTTTCTTTAAAATAATTGCATTTTCATATGTTTTCAACCCACACATTTTTATAAATGATCAACTTTTAGAGAGTACTTTGCACAAGAAAACTCAAAGAGGTCACGACAGAAATTTTTTAGCTGTTTTTCATAATATTAAAGTATTACATTTGTATGAAAAAATATCAGGAATAAGAACTGAAATTATAAAAATTTATTAATATAAAATACCTTAATTTAAAAATTTATATTTTTCACAAGGAAGAAAAATTACATTCCTCGGAAATATTCTGCTTTTAATACTAAACATTCTTTTTTATAGTTATTATTTTCTTTCTTGTTTTTTTATTAACGCATTTTTTAGCTTTTTTTTCTAAAAAGGGGGTGTGGCTGAATTGCCTAATTTGTTTTCAAATGAAGTTTTATTCAACTTCTAACTTTCCCGCATGCACAAGTGATATATCAATCGAAAGATAATAATGCAAAGAATAATATTAAATGAAAATAAAAAAACTATAGGTTTGTGATTTTTAGGGTACCAAGTCCTCTTAATTTATTAATATGTGCTTCGTAAGTTTTAAACGCTATACTTCACTAAAGTTAGAAATTTAATTCTTTTATAATAAGTAGTAGTACCATCTGTCAAAAAGGTATTTAAGTTGATAAATTTACCAAAAATTAATATTAAGTAGCAGGGGTCTACCCGAAACTGAAAAACATGGTAAGGGGTCTATGAGACAAAAAAGTTTGGGAACCTCTGTTCTAGAGTATTGCAATTGCATTTATTAAAGCAATCAATCAAAAGACATTTATATATTTTATACTACTTATTATTTTTAAATTTTAGTTTTGAATTAAAAAAAAACACTTACTAAATATTTCCCGGTATCGTAATTTTAACTATGTAGTAGAAAAGTTTGATTTTCCTTTTAAATTCTACGACAACATTTATTTAAATAAAATAGCACTTTTTTTCTGTTTTGATTTGTATGTCTTCAAATAAAAATTATTCGTTTATTCGTGAAAGCAGAATTTAGAAAAATAGCAGTTATAATAATTAATATTTTAACTTCAAAGATTCAAAATAAAGAAAATGTCTTTTCTTTCTTGTTTTTTTCTATTTAACTGAATATTCTGTAAGAAACTGAAATTCAAATGGATTCATGCGTACTAAATTATGAAAAATGAATGGGAATAGTCTAATAATAATGAGTTTATAAATTTACATATTAATGAAACAAATCTGTAAACTGATGCTAAATAAAGATTATACGAAACCAATTTGCATTATTTTACTACAAATATTTTAAACAGAATTAGGATAATTTTAATGTTTTTCCATATTTCTCAGAATACCTACACATAAATAATTTGGAATCTGGGAGTTTAAATAATTGATACGAACTGAGCCTTTTTATGAGAACGTGGTGGTTTTAGAAGATTGTCATCAATACTTTTATTCTTTCTAGTCATTATATTCTTTCGTTCTTTCTTTCATTATATTCTTTCATTCTTTCTTTCATTATATATATATATATATATATATATATATATATATATATATATATATATATATATATATATATATATATATATATATATATATATATATATATATATACATATATTATATATATATACATATATTATATATACATATTATATATATATATATATAATTTCTTTCCATTTTTTCTTTCTTTCTTTACATTGTCTTTTTTACAATTTGTTACATTACTTAAATATGGCAGTTGTAAAAAAGAGTAAAATTTTGTATCTGTTGATCAAAATATTATTTTCAAGTTAAAACTATTAATACACATTTTACTTATGTAAAATTAATTTTTCAATAAGGATTCTTCATATGTATTTAAAGAAATTTGATTGCATGTTTCGTTTTTCAGGTGAAGGTCTTCATGTTTTGCTAACCAACCAAGCAAAAGATCTCGTTCAAGCTTTCGACATGGCTTCTAGAGGAAGATTACCTGGAAAGAGAAAGGTTTCGGTTAGAAAGAATACTAGTAAGCTATATATTTGCTTTTATATATTTTTGTTTTTGCATTTTGTTTGTTTCGTGTTTTCCTCGTCATTCTCTCCGTATTACTTCTATTTCATCCTTCTACAAATTAAAAAAAATTATAAATGATACATTGATAGATGAGGGGAATTACTTTATATTCTCTAAAATAAAGAAGCTTTTTCGTAATATAAATTTGTTACGAAACAAAATGCCTACTTTTTTCGATTCCTACTATTAGTTCACTCTCTCCTATATATATATATATATATATATATATATATATATATATATATATATATATATATATATAACTATAGTATGACATTGATATATATATATATATACATTTATATACATATATATATATATATATATATATATATATATATATATACATTTTTTTAAACTTGTAGTGGATGACACTTGATGTTAATATAGTTTTTTTTCAAAAAATTTCAATGATTAATTTTAAAAAAGGAATAAATACTAACAAACAAAAATAATTGCCAATTTTTAGAAAGAGAAACCGTTCTTTGTGTCCCTACAGCGCAATGAATAGCACTTTGGACTTCTAATCCAAAGGTAGTGGGTTTGAATCCCACCTGAGTAGGCCTAATTTATGAGAATGGAATTTTTTTTACTATTATATTTTATTAGAATAATTAAATTATAAATTAATTAATGTATAGTAACAAACAAAAAAAATCGCCGAACCCCACACATAGAAAGGAAAATGAAAAATTGCAAGGAAAAAATCTCTTTCTATTTTGCCACTTAATATTGTTATGCTGTCATATGTATATACATATTTATATTAATTATAACTATTTAATGAAAAGCAACTAAAATTACAATTTTCTTTACGTTGACCTGAGTAGGAACTGACTTATTTTTTTTATATTACTTGCAATATAAATCAGTCTCAATCTGAAAAAAAATATTGTAACATGACATCAGACTTGACAAAAAGGGCCCTATAAAGAGTAAAATATAAAAAAGCAAAGCAGGTGCATTACGGAATACATATAGGAATACTTTGTAAATATAGATTATAATATATAAAAAATGCAAACGTCATTATTCATAAATTTTACAAACATTTAATCGAGAATAATGCAAGTTTTTATTAAAAAATGTCACTATTAGATCTCGATAACGTGTCTCCAGAATCAAAAGAAAAAAATTGAAAAAAGAAATAGACTTTTGAAACCAATTAATTACACCAGGTTATGTTTATTTAACGACAAAACAATTAAGAAAAATGCACATTTTAAAAGATAAGATTTTCAAAAAAAAAGTGTAAATGTGACAATAAAAGGCTTACTCTTTGAAGAAAACAAACATTTTGCTATTTCTTTAATATTTACGTGGAGTCATCTTGCAAGTGATGAACATGATAGTGTGTGTGTATATGTGAGCAGGTAATGTGTAAGTGGACATGACAAGTGAGTCGTGAACTCTCACCCGCTGAAGTGTGAGGCTTCGCCAAAGGACGAGACATTTTCTTAAAATATACTTATTATTATAATTCTGTTTATAAATTATATCTATACTACGGGAGCACGTGTCAACCTAAATAGTAACCTAGATATCTAGAACAGGGTTCGCAAACCTTTTAGCTGTAGGGTTGTGATGTTCCTCCCCTTGGAAGAACATCTCTCGAAGTATCAGCGTGAGCTAGAGGCATAGGATTAACGAAAGAACTAGAATCAAACATTATCTTAATATGACTTTATTAAGATATTATTCAACTTAAACCCCTTTAAAAAATTAAATTATAATAACTAATATGAGAGAATCTACGATGGTAAAATACACAACACACACAATATGTATATATTTATAGTAAGATTTAATCTAATTCAGACCACTATCAATAAACGAACCGCCTAATCTCCGATTCTAATATTAAATAATCAATCCTTCCTTATTACAGCTTGGAGCAACGATCAATCTTGTCTTCGTATGCACTGGTGGGCAACTTGGCTGTTTCCTATGTTCGATCACTAATAACTTTTATTCACGTCACGCAAAACTCATTCAGACTTGAACCACGAACTGTAATAACCATCAACTGCCACAAACTAACTTCAATTGTCAAACATTACCTTACATTGGCATTCCGCTTACTCTAAGATCCTATATTTAAAAGTTTGTTCATTTGCATCTTTCATTCACACTTCACTTCTTGGATTTGGTTGGAAAAGCGTTGTCATTAATTCTGGCCCAAAGAACCCAAAGGACATGTTAAAGAAAAGACGCGTGAGACGTCACAGGGTGTGTGCCAAACCAATCTACTAATATGATTCAGCGTGCCACACAGTAGGATATTTTTGAAGCATTGCATGCTGGGTTAGAGAGTAACTAAAGGTCAATAATATAGATTTACAATTTTTTCATATTAATTTTGTATCATTTAAAGATATTTCTTAACATAAAAATAAACAGCATAAAATATATTAATTTCTTCAACAAAAATTTTAAAAAATTAAAATTGTACGTATATTAAGTATTTATTAACACACTCACACACACACATATATATATATTAAAATAAGAAATAGACAACACAAAATATAAGTATTTTCCTTCATTATAATTGAATAAAAAGATAAATAAAAACAATTTCTTTGCGGACTCGAAATTTTTTTCATATGAAGAAAGATTTCTTAGTTAGATATGTAGAATCGAAAGCTGAAAGTAGAGTGCATGCAATTTTCTCACTAATTTGCAAAATAGCTGTAAATTTATCCTTGGAGTTATCTTTCAGATTTTTTCTTATTCTCTTAAATGTATTATTCTGAAGGTGTTTATCAAATAAGGTCTATTTCAAATTTATCAACTTCCATCCACTTAAATATTGATAAATTTGTTCAGTAGTGCAGAGTGCCACTGAGAATTGTTCCACGTGCCACTTATGGCACGCGTGCATTAGATTATCGACCCCTGATTTAGAGCCTAAATCCTATACTTATCAATAGATGATCCTCAACAATAACTTTAATCCTTGAACGGCCAGTCGGACTCTTTCAAATTGAACATCGACGATTCTAATACTAGCTTCATTAACTAACTTCCTAGTATACGTATGACAACAATCACCATCACCCACTCCCCTCTTTACTTGACTTTAAATAGTAACCCTAATTAACATCAATCGTGGTTACAGAAAAAGGTTTTAGAATCATATAACGTCATCAAAACTATTTTCCCTAAGGAATCGCGAACAGAGCCTGTTACCAGGGACACCTTAAGGCACGGGCCAACTGGGCTCAGATCCAGGACCTCAAGCTAGGAGGGAGCCTCGCTTCGTTCTCGACTCTATCTTAATAACATCACGATCCAAATAATTTGAATGATGAAATATTATTCCCGAACATATTCTCCGAAAAACAGGAAATTTCAAACTGCATGCCAACTGGTAAAAGTGGTAAGACTGTATTATTATGCGATATCCGTTGCCCATGTCTAGGCCTAGGCCTAATACCATAAACAATCATTTAACTCATTAAGTAGAAATGTGGCCGATTTGTTCCTTGGCTTTTGAGATTGTGAGTGGTGCTCATTTATTTGTTTCAAATTACCGTTTGAACGAGTATTTGACATTGCATGCTACTGTCTACTTTTAAAGATATCAGGTTGGGCCTTCTTTTGCATAAGGGTTCAGGGCCTCAAAAATCTTAAACTTTCGCTGGGCCCAAGGCCTCATACAGTCTTATGACCCGTTACAAGTGTTTTAAAAATCATTTATATCACTGCCCAATCTTCATTTATTTGCATACATTTACAACTATTTTCTATTACTCAAACTCACATATCCCATTCCAGGTGGTGTAGATGGCAATACGCATTCCTCCTTGACGGGTAGTGGCAGTCGACCTTGCAGTGGCACGGGGGCTTCTGAGAACGACAAACTGGAGACATGCAGTTCCGAGTCTTCCACCAAGCCCCTGCTCAGTTCTGGGTCTGACGGCAGTGATGTTGGGAAAGGTGTGCGCCCTTGTCACTTCCATTACCGATGGCCTTCATGCATCGTGCCATGTGGCACGGCGACGAGAGGAGAGTTGGGAGCTGATGATGGCTCCAGAACTATTGCCAGATCCACTATAGGGAGTCATGGGAGGTCTGCAGATGGACAAATGCTATGGTAAAAGCACTTTGATTGTAATGATGCAATGGAAATGAGAATTTGTTTAAATATTTCTAAACAATATCATTTGTGTAAAATTTGGAGTCTATAACAATCAAGATGTCAGTTTTTTAGAATATTATTTAGAATAATTTGTTTTAAATCGTGCATTTGGGAATACCCCTGAAGTGAATTTTCAAGTGTGCATCGAATGTCATACTTCATACTCAAGAAACATTTTTTACTGTCATATTATAATTGAATTTATGAAAGAATAAGTATAGTCGGAACTAAGAAATAAAATAGGTTCTTACGTATTATACCTTCGATCAATTTCACGTAACGAAAAGACATAGTCAATTCAAAAAATCGTTATTATTACTGTGTTCGACCGTGTGCGAGAACTGTTTTCCACTGTTGGCTGTATGACATGCAATTCGACAACAAATTTTGATTCGACGAAATTGATCTACGGTATAATACTTAAATACGGTAAAATCCAAACCATTTAAAGTACAAATTATTGTAATTTAGGTACAAAAATTTAAATGAATAACCATCAATTTACTATATTTTATAGGAAACATAGTGATTATATATTTAATTAACTATGTTAAGCGAGAAATGTGCAAAATAATTGCGTTAGTAAATTTCATAAAATAATGTAAAATATGTGTGTTTTTGTTGATAAAAACACTAGATATTTTATATTATTATGACTTCATTTTTATTTAAGCAGACGAAGCATTTTATAATGTTTTAAATACTTTATCTTGAAACGATAATGAAATAAAATGATAAATCCTATCTCATGAATAAAATTTTAAATGAATTATTTCGATATCTGTGAATTGGAAAGAAGCCTAGAAAAATTAAATGTATGTGTGAATCCTTATTAAAATAAATAATTGGCAATGAGTTCAAAGAAAAAGCTGTTGAAAAAACCGCAAAAAACGATATTGATATTATACTAACATACCTCCATTATAAAGTTATGATGTTACACCTAAATATGCTTCTTTAACAAATGTTTGTATTAATTAAATGAATTGTTGTATATTTATTAACACTTTCTTTGCTTATTATACTTGTATCTCTCAAGAAATTATGCTATCAAAAACTATTCTTTAATTCATTAAAAATGATGCTGGTACAACACCAAGTACTTTATTAATTTTTAAGTGGAGATCAATTGAATTACCTAATTTAAGACAATCAAAGCAATTTTGTCTCTCAAAGATAAAAACAACGCAAATATTGATTGAAGATTCAATTAAACATCTATAAAATAATTTTCACACTAATACATCAAAAATAATATTATTCTTACACATAATTAAAATCTATATTAATAAAGAGCCTCCAAACTTTTATTTTTAGGGCTGTTGGCCATTGCCAGGGCTGTGGTGTCCATTACTGCAGACGTAACACTGGAAATGATAAGGAGAATACGGCTCCAGCCACTGGTGACGAACCTGCGG